TAAGAGGAACGTGATCTTCTAAAATGCTCGCAATAATTTACACGTCCTTATCGTCCTAGTTAAAAAATATTTTTTTTAAGACGAAAATAACCGATTATAACTAAATTATATTGTTCTTATATTACTCATTAAAATTGCAAAATTCCGTGTTCTGGTATTCTAGCGCGTTATTTTTAATCTACGAGCCTCATAAAGACAATAACGTTCCACAAATATCATAATCTCCTGGCACATATTCCGCAAAGCAGAAATATCGCGTGATTGTGTTCGCGCCGTGTGACATTTTGAGCATCATAGCACATTTCGAAGTAAATAGCGACACATGTTCTTCTAACGATAACCGCAAAATTCACAAATTTTCGCACATGCGGTGTTTCAAAAGTAGTTTTGGCCCGGCTGCGCGCGAGTCCCACTTAAAACTGACTTTATTTAAATAAATTTTCTTTCCGTGTCATCGCGAATGAAATTTCAGAAAGGACAACTCGCCGAGTCAATCTTGGTCAATCCAAATGTTCAAATAAAAGATGTTGTCTTAAACGTTCAAATAAAAAAAAATCTCAAACATTCTATTACGATATCCTTGCCTCAAGATACAAATAAAATGAAATAAATATTTACTGGCATCTTTAATTAATATTAATAGATAACGCTTGTGACTGTACGTTATTAGCGAGATAAGATTCGTACAATCCCGTAATCGGTTTCAGATAATCAGCAACTGCAGGCTTACGTAAACTCGTTGCAATCGTTATCGCAAACCGTCATTCCCCATCAATGAACAGATAACAAATGTCGTTAACACGTTGCTGCGCTAAACAAGGATACGATCGCAAGGCAGACCGCGTTGTTGATCGCGCGACAGATAAATGGCATCAACGTCGCGTAGTTCCGTATTATTGTTCGCGATCATGCGTGTGCTACGACCAGGCGCAACGACGAATCGCAGAGATAATATTGAATGACCGGACCGAAGATACACGCGGCCGGCAGTCTCGTGGCGACATCGCGCGGTGCGATGCGAAATCGTCACGACGCACATTCCAACCGATGATCCCTCGCTCCGACAATGTGGGAGGCCGAAATCTCGGCTCCGAAATGCGGTAAACATCGCCACGAAATAACCCTTGTACCCGCGGTGGTCCCGGCGCGTGGCTAACCTCGAATCGCCGGCCGACCGGCGGACGATCTCGCGCGGATCGCGAAAACGCGAGGGCATGACCGTGCGATGCCAAGTTCGCGCAGTGACATAATTGAAACGCGCGTGTGTTCCGGGTTGACCCGTGCTTCATCCGTGGATGCTCATCGTCGTACCTGTCAATCGTGTTCCCGTCGCGTTCGTCTCAGCCCGCACGAGTGACGATTCGCATTTTCGCGCTGCGAATTACGCTGGTCCGGTCGGCGACGACGCCGACATGCGACGCGACCGCGCGTCGCCGCTAATAATGCAAAAAGAGCTGCGTGGGAACGGGCGAGGGTGCGAGGTACTCCGGCGGTCTACCGATCCGTAGCGCGTGTTAGCGACGTTAACTCAATCGAATCTCATCACTCACCGATACGTCGAGGTCCGCCAGGGTCTGCCACGCGTGCAGCGGTCGGATGCGCTCCCCTCGCTCGCCACTCTGTCTGCGAAAACACGGAACGATTCAGTTGTCACTAATTAAAGATATCGCGACGGCGGCCATACTGGTCCGCTCCGCGTCATGGCTCCCGCGAGACTCGCGAGATGGCGATGCGCGCGCAGCCGCTCGCACGGTAACCACTATGTCCGGACGTGTGTTTGTTTACAAGCGCTGCATTCCGACGCTTGAACGAGGTAAAAACGACGTACACAAACACGAATATTGAAAATTCCGCGAACGCGAGACGCCTCGTTGAAATGATGCGGAAAATATCCTGGGATATTTCAATTCGATAATTCGGAAATGGATATACGTCAGATGTTGCGTTTTACTCTAAGAACGGTATTCATAGCCAGACCGTAAATTTAAAATCGTCTTAAATTTATTTTCAAGTGTCGTGCAGATCGTTTCATTGGCTACGGCGTATCTGAAGATATGAAGTGAAGACGATTTCAAATACAAGGACAAATTATGGATATCGGTGGTAATCGTGTCAAGAAATAGCGATTCATAAATATATATTAAGATATTATATTATATAAAAAGTTGGAGGGGGAGAGAGAAATAAAGAGAGATAAATATGTATGAATATAACGATACCACTGCACTTGATCTGCGCTTAAATGAAGCTGAAATAGATATATTTTGATCATATTTCACTCCAACAATATTCCATTGATATTCAAAACGGTGAATTCTGGTTGATAAAGCTATATCGCAATCGTATCGACGATGCAAGTGTGATTCTGTCGTCTCGTTTAGTAGTACGTGGCGCGCGGAACGGCAAGAACAGCTGTGCTTCCTAACCTCTTCGCGATACGGTGAAGAAGGTTCCGTCAATTTTTCGTCGTAAACAAGGACCTGTCGTAATCTCTAAGTATTCGTCAACGTTCACGGGCGAGCTGACATTGCTCCTTTCGAATCACATCGATTGTTAAGTTAAATCAACGACGATGGTGAAGCTTAATACACGATGGCTACTCGCTGAGGACTTAAATCTTCTACGAGGCAACAGCTTCCGTAAGATATCGAGTATTATATATTCGCGAGAAAAACGCACAAATACGAGTATCGTAATTACGTGATTCGTTTGCTTTCAGTGACGAAGATTAAGTACTTGTGGCGCAAAGGGTGGATCGAGATCCCCGTCATAATGGCAAGCACACCCTTGTCGATAATAGCAACTGCTGGAGGTATTTTCGTGATGTGGTATGGCAGCACGCACGATCTGACCCCGAAGTATCACAACAAGCCGACAAGTAAGTGGTCGAAAATTAAGGTCTAGTTCATCCGAGTCGAATTTGTTTGAATTATGGTATGGTTACGTAATTATAAATCGCGTCCGCCGATAAAACAGAATCGCGGACGAAAATGAGATAACTGCGTTACCTAATCTGAAGCCTAATGCGTTAACGCTAATTACGGTAATGCTTTAGTTTACAGACCGGATGATCCAAGAGTAAGTCGGATCCGCCATACATCATGGTTTGATCAATAAATTACACTTAATCGATGGTGCTGCAAAAGTATGCCGTTGCGATATACTGCAATATTGTAGGAATATATAATTAATATTAAAAAAAAATAAAAATTCTACCATGTATTTTTTAATACACGTCGATCCTTCCCCGCTATGAAAGCTCTCTAAATGTAAAGCTTCGTGGTAACGCGCAAAGCATAAAATATAGAAGACATGTATTTTGATCTGAAAAAATATGACAAATCGAGAATTTTCACGTTTGGGTGGAATTTCACAGATATGTATGGATTGTAATTGTGGCGACAATATCTACAGGAATAGTGATCGTAAAAGTTTTCATATAAATTGGCCGTAAAATATAAACGCCATGAAGATGCTCGACAACGACGCAATGTACGGCGACCGTATATTCTTTTTACGTCCGCAATGTCAAGATATTACTGCATCTTCCGATTTTTAGAGATTTTTAAAGTATATACGAATATAATAACCGAGTATTCACAGAGCATACACGAACTGATTAAACCCGCGAAGAATTTGCTTTGACGATGAATCTACAGCGCACGCTGTTATGAACGGATAATATCGCGGAAGGAGAAAGAATGAGATAGAAAGAACTATTTACATTTTTACAATTCCAGATAAAAACGTCTAAGAGATGACCTAATTATTCGGTCGTTATTTAAGCGTTCTTCAAGCGTCTTCTGAATCTTTTTGTTGCATCATCGACGTCTTATTTTCGCGAGTGGAAAGAAGTCCGTGAAAGGAACCCTTCCCGTCTTTTCTTTAGTGCGCCGAGTCACCTCGAACTTGCGTTTTTACCCGCGATATTCTCTATTCCCCTCTTTCAACATTAAATTTCTGACTCGAGATTCCGCGTCGAAAATGGACGCGCAACGCGTGCCATGTCGGAGGATTACTGCGCGGAAAACGAAGACTCCTCGCTCCACACCGTATAATTTCAGTTTATACCTTCCTCTCGACGATATTCCGTTTATATCCGTTCACGGAGCAAGGACAAGCTACCCTCGAGCACACGAACGCGCAAATACGCCGATCCTTTTCACTCAATGTCAGCCCGTTTCAACGTCAGAGTAGATATGATGTGGAAACGCAATATAAGAAAGACACAACTTATACATAAAGTCACCTATGTTAAAAGCAATGATATTTAAAATCGAAGTAGCTTAAGTATTCAGCTGTCGTTCAATCAGGTTCGTCATCCGAATAATTATCGTCGCCCTACTTGGCCAGGAACTTCCAATCATCTCAGCCCTGATTCCGGAACTTCCTGAAAGCGATAACGCTAGGCTGCGAAATTCCGTGCTCGCGGTTTCGAGCCTAAGAAGCAGGATGGTATGCGAAATCGCGAATCCCACCGGTTAAGCACCCCTATCTTCGTCCTCAGAGGACGGTCTAAATCTCGCCCCGGCGAGACAGATGGAGAGACAAAGAGCGAGAGAAAGAGAGAGAGAGAGAGAATAAGAAAGAGGAACCGTGACAAGGATGGCAGAAAGAGGAGCTGTAGGTAGAGAAAGACAGATACCTCGCGATATTCCAGCGAGTCAGGGCGCAGGATCGTAGGATCGCACAGTCGTTGCTTCTCTGTATAGCGTGTGTACGCTATTCCACCCCATCGAGGACGACTACAGCGTAGCGTAGGTTGTACACGTCGCAGGAGAGAAGGGTGGAAGCGGGAGGGTTGAAGAGGGAGGTAGGAGGGAGGCAGGGAAGAGGTGAGCGACGAGTAGCAAGCGAGCGAGCGTTCCGGAGAGAGGGCGAGCCGAGAGAGAAAGAGAGAGAGAGAGAGAGAGAGAGAAAGAGGAGAGGGATGATGCCCGCAGGAGGAGTGAAGATGAGGGAGAGAACGAGAGAGACGACAGTCCGGAGGGTGAAAGCAGAGGGGACCGACACGGAGCACCCCTCGTTGCCTCGCTAGTGGTTCAGTCAGCGTTTCGCACCGGCGTCGCTTTACCTACGCTCCTCGCTCTTGATTCCCGTCGGGCACGTCCTCGCGTGCACATCATCGTATGCCTGGTCGTCTCGTGAAATCAATGAGCCCCCGTATCGGTAGGCAGCTCCGGGCCTCGTTCGAATAATCGCGGTCATAAAGCCTTATCGTATCGGCGCGAGATATCTGCCGAGAGAGGAAGAGAGGAAAGAAGAGAGAAAGAAAGAACGAGAGCTAATACTCCGATAGTCGAACTCGTGTGGAAATTTTACCCGTCGGAGCTGCCACTTGTCGCTGCTTTGGTTCGAAAGGGACGGAGCGAGAGGGACAAAGGAGCGGCGGAGAGAGATCGAAAAGAAAAAGAAAGGGAGAGTTGCATCGCAACGAGCGCAGCGAGAGGAGCCAGAGCGTGGACGAGATCGAGAGAAGCAATTGAGGACCTGTACGGGTCCTTAACGTTCAGGACGGTGCATGTCTCGGACCCCGTTTTTCAGCTTTTCCTCCGGCAACGCTCTGTCCACGTTCCTGAGGTAAGCGAAAAGAAGCACGTATGTTGAAATCTCTATCCGTGATCGAAAAACAATGAAGTTTTTGCTTTCGGCCTTCTGTGTCCCCTTTTCTGCCATGAAAATAGAATCGCTTTGTTCCTGCGAAAGTAGTTTTGCTTCACAGTGAAAGCGGAGCTTCTAAGGACGCAAGCGGGTATGTGCGGAAATAATTTGTAAATTTCAATTTAACATTCGCAAGGAGCGTATCGTTCATAAATAATAATCTTAAAATAATTTTCTTAAAATTGAGTGATTCTAAAGCAATTTTTTAACACGGAGTGAAGTGAATCGAGAAAACGTATATTTTCCAGGCAGAAGGAAGGAAAAAACGCGATGGTAGATAGTAAAGAAGTATTGTGTGATCGAGAAATGACGAAGAATCTCTTTAAATTTAACCATTTAATTCACGATTCCAATTCGAGCTTCGCGTTGCATCGTGTCATAATTAATCTCGATTATTGGCGACCGTGATCGAATGCGCGCATAAACTGGTTAAATCGTACCGAATCGTAACGTCCGGTGGAATATCACATATCCGTCCTGTCCTGTCCGTCCTGTGACATCTACGTGATGAGAGACATTCTGAAGGAAAGGTTCCCGGTCAATGATTTGACCTCCTGTTTGCTCAACGTCCCGTCAGCTCGCGACCTTCTCGATCCTATGAAACGTGTATGACACGGGCTAAGAGCGCGTTGCTTCGAAGTAAAACCAAGTATTTTCTGGATAAAATATTTTCTAAATAAAATACCTCTCATTTTCGTTTTGCTTTTGAAAATATCTCGCATGAAATCTCCGCTCTCGTGAGTTACATGGAATAATTAGAGTGAAAAATATTGAAAAATATACGAGTATCGACCACTAATTATCAGTCTTTCATTCGTCCGACTCTTGCGGAAAATTACATTCTCGATGAAGAAGAATTTCTATTCAGCGGATGCTTCGCGTGTCATGTATAATTTCTCTGGCATGAATCAATATTTATGTCGGAGTAAACAGATGATTTTATATGTGAAGACCTAGTTTACGTAAACTTTCTTCGTTGTATCAAGCTACATCCATTTGGTGCAAATATTTACAAATTAATGATCGATACTATACTCAGATAGTCGTGACGTAAACAAATATTTGCAGAAAAACGTTGATCTCTCGAAAAACAGGAACATAGTTCAGGGTAACGGATGACGGTTCGTGTGATATTTATTTTCTACGCATAAATCTTGAATATATCTCCATTCGTTAACTCCGTTGTAGGGTGAAAAAATATGGGATTAAAGAACGGCAAAGTTACGTGTGCGATTCAAGTGCGATTTTTGAAAATTTTCGAGGAAGATCTTCTCGTTTTTCATCCTTTCAAAAATCGTCGCTGGACTATGGCGACTATGCGCCATAACTTAGCCGTCCTTTAATCCAGTGTTTTTTCAATCTCGCGACAAAAGTTAACGAATGGAAATATATTCAGCACTTACATGCGCCGGGAATAAATATCGCGCGCGCGAGATCACACGTTCCCGATCTCGGACTTACATCTTTTTGTTCAGTAGATTGATATTTTCTGGTAAATATTTGCCTTACATCACGTCCATCGGGATTTTATATCAACGTCGGTAAAACGATCTAATCAAAAAAAAAAAGGAAAAGGAAATAACACAACATCGACTCCGTGGTCGATCATCGAACATAGAGATTTTCCGCTAAGCGCTCGAGATAATCCCTTAAAACTCTACGTGTACGCACGTTGTACGTTATATACGCCTTCCATAAATAGCGCAAACTCTCCGACACTATGTATGAAGCGACCGACGCGGCATTCTTTTTTCCTCTCGTTTGAGAAAAACGCACGGCTTTGAAAGAGTTAATAATTATGTGTCGGTGTTGTTATGGCGGACTTTATTGATTCGCTGTGCTGCTAGGTCGTATCATACTTCTCTCGTAATAAGCCATTACGACATACATACGTATACACGTGCTTCGTATTCGCGAGCGTGACATTTAAACTCGCATTCGATATATATCGCCTGAAAAAAAAAAGGAGAAACAAAAAATATAAAACAAAATCCGGAATTTTGAAGCTTACACGCGCGCATTTTTCGATTACCGATACACATTACGTTGGTTCGCCGACGCAATTTTTATATGTAAGCTAAAGCACTTCCGCTACACAATAGGCGCAATTTTCAATCGCCCAGTTTTTCAGCTACAGAGAGAGAGAGAGAGAGAGAGAGAGAGACATATATATGTATTCGTGACGTGTAATTGTTTTCGTTCCCCGCTCGCTATTCGTGGAAAATGACAGAACGACGTGCACAATCGCTCATTTCCGATATTCCGACAAATCGTATCGTTAAATTGTACCGTTAAATTACCGATATCGAATGCACACGCGCGCGCGCGTCCGCGCATGCTTCTGGTCTTACGCTATCGGCAACCACGACACTTGCATTATTCACCATGCGCTTATCTCCAAACTTGAGTAGAAGCTTCCTCATTCACTGCACGCTGTATTATCGATGCTCATACGGTTGATAGTACGGCCCGCTCTATTCAACAAACGTAACGCCCAAGTTCACTGAAGCCTCGTAAACTCGGCCTGGACTTGGGCCAAATCGAAGTGCCACAGTACCACCGTCGTGCACATAACTATATGCGGCCGAAACAGCTGTTAACCCGACTTGTTGCACCGTCAACAGACGCAACCGCGCTGCAACTGTTGAACTTCGACCCGAACACGAGAACCGAACCTTCTTTACGGAGTGATTATTATAAGCGACAATTATTACCGATCTTAGCTACCGGCTTTAAAACTGGCATATATTCGACTGGAGCAAAGAAGCTCGTTACATCGTGTACGTTACGTTTCATCCGTATATAATGAAGTGAAGTGAAAATGAATCGGTTATCTCTGTGTTTGAGTGCGCGCGTGCGTCACGTATATATTATACGTACGATATATTAACAATATTAAAATCACGATGATTGTAACAATATTAAAATCACGATGAAAGTAACGAAGCTGCACAAACGTTAATTGTCGCGCGTCGCGCTGTTACGGTAAAGTGCGTTGAAACACCGGACACCGATGCGATGCGGTATCGTGTGTCGCAACTGTGCGATAACTCGTAAGGCCGTTGAGACTGTATTTTCTCGAATGCAACATCGATTGTCCGCTCCACAGGCGAACCACTCATCGGAACGACGTATTCTATATTTCGGGAAAGGAGATTCAACGGAGGAGAAGGAGGGGCGGGTTATAGAAAGCTCGGGGACATTATTTTTGAAGTCCGCCCGATTTCTCGACCCAATAACCGAATTTAGCGAAACTCGCGGGATACACAGGGCGTCGCGGAGAAAAGCAGTTATTTCAGGAAGTAGGCTACGCGAACATAATCCGCCGCGGCGCGCTCGTAAGCGCGCTTCATGAATGCGCGCGTGGCGCGACGTCGCACTTCGCACCTCTCAAAGCGCGATTGTGCGCCGCCGGAATATGGCAAAGTGCGACGGTATTTCTTTTGGCTCGCTGGAAGGACCCTGCGACGGTTCTCTCAAAGAAAATTATTCGCGACGGAGAAAAAAGCTGGAATTTCCGCGCGAGTAACGCGCGCCGTCAAAATCTCTCGCGGTACAGCGAGCAGCGTATTCTCTTCTGTGCGATGCGCTTTGTGCAAGCTCCCGATAGTTGCGATGCATCGGTCGCGCGAATTTTCGGTTCAAATGACAATCATTCGGCGGAGTGTCCTCATCATCCCGTTACACCGCCACGTGCCGCGCGGCGGGAAATAAAACTGCAACAGCGAAAGGGGGAAAATTTCGAGCCGCGCTGCCGATTGATTTTGAACGGATAATTCGATTTCAACTTTAATGCAAATTCCTTCTCGTTTGTGTGTTTGCGTGTTCTCTCCGGGACCCGCAGCCGATCTTTCTCTCGAGAAAATTTCGCAATTCCTCGATACACGATATCGAACACCGACCGGATACTTCGAATTAAAATCCTTAAGAGGCAGAGTCCACTTGAGTTCGGACGAACAATGGAGTCTCGTGATTCGATTCGCTTTTCGAGGGCTAAGCTCGCGAGAGCAAAGTCGTTCCCTTCGTTTCCGAGCGCTTAACAACTTGAAACTTGTTGATGCCTGGCGACATTTTTATTAATGAAAAATGAAGAGCCGGGAAGTCGCGCGGAATCCGCCGCTGAAATCGAGATCAAGATATTCTGACGTGCAACCGCTGTAGAAAGAAGGAGAAGTCGTGAAAAAGGGAACATCACGTTTTAAATGTCCCGGGAAATCCATTTCGGTGCTCAAGAGCCAAACGAGCCAACGATAGAGATAGATACATCGACATTGGCTTGCGTCGCGTTCGGCCAAGTAATTGCAGTCGATTAGCGAATCATCCGCGAACGATGCGGGAGTGTTGCGCTCTTTTTGCACCTCGTCACCTCTCCCCGTGTCCACACACACACACACACACACACACACACACACGAACAAGCAAGCCGCGAGGGTGAGTGTATGAATAAACGCGGCGTTTGAAGAGCCCTGGTCCGTCCGGAGTAGTGCGGCGGGTGCGGTTGTTTAATTGCAATTGTCGATCAATAGAGACAATCAAACTCTTAATTACCTGGACGTGACCCCTCGGTCGGAATTCGGCTTTCGTCGATTACCTCGTCTCGTAAAAGCTAAGCTTTCTTTTCATCCACCTCTCTCTCTCTCTCTCTCTCGTTGATTCTGGCGCACGCCGATGCGGCTTGAAAATAAGCCCGCGCACCTCGACGTCGTTTCTTCGAAAACTTCTGCCGCGTATCTGCCACCCGCGCTGTATATTATATCCTCGGGTATACCGAGTTTAAAGCGAAATCTCGCATCCCGCGTGCATAAGGAGCCGCCAAGTGTATTCGCAGTGGGAACTTGCAGCGACGATAGCTGCACAGGGTGTCCCGGACGAAACTCGCGCGCTCCCAGCCGCCCACGACTTCCTTAATCTCTCCAGAG